GAAGTCTCACTTCAACTAGATCTTGCCATTTCAGCCAGCCTGGCAGTGCACTAAGCTCAAGGAGCCTCCTGTCTTTGTCACCCCCTGCCAGTGTTACAGTTACAGATGCTTACTGCTATATCTGACTTTTTATAGATGTTTGGGACCCAGATTCAGGTCCTCATATTTTCATACAAAGTCCAATGGGCCATGTCACTAGCTCCATGAGGACTGATAAATGCTTCTTTCTTAGGATATTATACCACGATTAAAATAAAAGGTCAAAATGAGTGTTATAACTTGGCAGAAACAGGAAAGATATGAAAAGATGCTTCTTAAATACATTAGGTAAATGGAAATAAAAATAATAACTCAACTATCCTCCAATTATTTTGCAACATTATTTACTTCACATAACTCACAGCCTCTCCTTTTGTGATCTGGTATATATTTAGAAGTTACATATGACTGCAATGGCCAGGCAACTACATTAAAAACAAGAAAAAACGGTATTTTTTTCTTAGACAAATTTTTTTTTTTAGTTTGCGATTCCAAATTATTTTCTCTTGCATTTAAAAGAATTAGATAAATTAACCACAATCATTAGTGAGTATTTTCAGGACCTGAAGAGACCCACCCAATACTAGCTAGCTAAACTGTAAGTGCTTAGAACCACAAAGAAGGCAAACAATAATGTCAGAAGTTATGTACTGAGCACATAATTCATAAAGTGTCATTACAAGATTGGAGAAATGCTCAACAGCTAAGAGCACTTCCTGCTTTCTAGAGGACCAAGTTTGATTCTCAGCACCAATGTTAGGCAGCTCATAACCACATGTATTCTAGATCTGGAGACCCCCCATCCTCTTCTGGTACCTGTGAGAACCCTCACATATGAGGCAGAGTCTTAACATAGACACACATTTAGAAAATAATTAGAAATATAAAGAAGTGGATGTCAGTCATTTAGACCATGGTTTAAAGAAAAAAAAACCAGATGATCATTTGAAATAATTTAAAATAGTTCATCCATTATAATTAATTACAAAGGTTTTGTTAAAGCCGGGTGTTGGTGGCACACGCCTTTAATACCAGCACTCGGGAGGCAGAGGCAGGCGGATCTGTGTGACTTCGAGCCCAGCCTGGTGTCCAGAGCGAGTGCCAAGACAGGCTCCAAAGCTACACAGAGAAACCCTGTCTCAAAAAACAACAACAAAAAGACAACAAAAAACCCACAAAGGTTTTGTTAAAATTAATAAAATGATGTCATTGTTTTTAACATTAGGGTAATACTCCATTGTGTAAATGTACCACATTTTGTTGATCCATTCTTTTGGTGATAGACTTCTATTGTTTCCAGTTTCTGGCTATTACGAATAAATCTGTTATAAACACAGGGAGGAGAACATGAAGGATCAGGAATATTGAGTTGGGGGAAGAATAGAGGAGAGCAAGAAAAGAGATATCTTAATAGAGGGAGCCATTAGAGGTTTAAAGAGAAATCTGGCCATAGGGAAATGTCCAGAGATTCACAAGGATGACCCCAACTAAGAATCTAAGCAATAGGGGAGAGGCTACCTTAAATGCCCTTCCCTATAATGAGATTGATGACTACCTTATATGCCATCCTGGAGCCTTCATCCAGTAGCTGATGGAAGCAGAGGCAGACACCCACAGCTAAACACTGAGTCAAACTCCTGGAATTCAGTTGTAGAGAGGGAGGAGTGATGAGCAAAGGGGTCAAGACCAGGCTGAGGAAACCCACAGAAACATCTGACCTGAGCAAGTGGGAGCGCATGGACCCCAGTCTGACAGCTGGGGAACCAGCATAGGACTCATCCAGGCCTCATGAACATGGGTGTCAGTTAGGAGGCCTGGGAAGTCTATGGGGCCTCTGGCAGTGGAACCAGAATTAATCCCAAATGTAGGAATAGACTTTGGTAGCTCATTCCCCATGGAGGGATGCTCTCTCAGCCTAGATACATGGGGGAGGACTAAGGTCCTGCCCCAAATGATGTGACAGACTTTGATGATCCCTCATGGAAGGCCTCCATAATAAAAGAATAAAAAAATAAACATTGTTGAGCAAGTGTCCTTGTGGAATGGTAGAGTGCTCTTTGGGTATACGCCCAGGTCTTAATGTAGGTCAATTCCCAGTTTTCTGAGAAACTGAAATATTGATTTTCAAGATGGCTCTACAAGTTGCACTCCTGCCACAAATGGAGGACTGCTCCCCTTGCTCCATATCGTTGCCAGCATGAACTATCACTTGTGTTTTTGATCTTAGCCATTCTGACAGGTGTAAGATGGAATCTCAGAGACATTTTGTTTTACATTTCCCTGATGGCCAAGGATGCTGAACATTTCTTTATTTCTCTGCCATTTGAGCTTCCTTTGTTGAGAAGTCTCTGTTTAGATCTGTATCCCATTTTTAATTGTATTATTTAGCTTGTTGATGTCTAGTTTCTTGAGTACTTTATGTATTTTGGAAATCAGTTCTCTGTCAGATGTGAGGTTGGTGAAGATGGCTTCCCATTCTATGAGCTGCCATTTTGTTCTATTGACAGTGTCCTTGGCCTTAGGAAATCTTTTCCATTTCAAGAGGTCCCATTTATTCACCTTAGTGCCTATGCTATTGGTGCTTTGGTCAGGAAGTTGTCTCCTGTAAAATTGTGTTGAAGGCTAGTCCCTACCTTCTCTTCTGTTAGGTTCTGTGTAACTGGTTTTATGTTGAGGTCTTTGATCCACTTGGACTTGAGTTTTGTGCGGGGTGATAGACATGGATCTATTTGCATGAATATCACTAGAAAAACTCATCCTGAGTGAAATAACCCAGACCCAGAAAGACAAAAATGGTATGTACTCACTTATGGATGGATATTAGCCATAAATTAAAGGTAGCCATGCTACAATCCACAGACCCAAAGAAACTAAGTAACAAGAAAGGCTCAGTGTCAGGGGACACATGAATGTCACTGCAAAGGGGAAGTAGAATAAACATCACAGGTGGACGAGGGGCGGGATCTTGATGGGGGCTGGGCATGGGAACAGGAGGGATCCCGTGAGGGGAGGATGGAGGGAGAGGGTACTGGGAGATACACCTGGAATCTTAGGGCATCCCTGGCACGAGCTGGAAGCCTAGTGCAATGGAAACTCCCAGGAATCTATGAGGGTGACCCAATTAAGACTTCTAACAGTGGAGGATATAGAGTCCAAACTGGCCATCTCCGGTGACAAGACTTCTAGTGGAGGGATTGGAACTCCAACCCGGCCAGATAAACTTTGACCTACAATTTGCCTTGCCTATAAGATATGCTGAGGTAAAGGTGGCACAGAAATTATGGGAGTGGCCTGTCGCGTCCACCCTTGACCAGCAAGAATGACGAAACACCAAGGAATCTTCTTCAACACAGTTTAATCGGGAACTTCTTGATTTACAGTGAAATG